GTTCTCTAAAGTTCTCTAAAGTTCCCTGAACTTCTCAGAACTTTTTAAAAGACCCCTTAATTTTCCCAGAGGAAAATGATCAGCCTTGAAGTTGTGGTTCAGGTCGACAAAATGTGCCACTCCAGATCAGGATAAGAACTGCAGTGCAAAGCAAGTGCAAGTGATCGGGTGAAATGCATTCCAAAGTGATTTGTTTTATCAGCATCCTTTTCGGCAGAACTGTTATTAGGCTATTGGCAGGCTGATCCTGATTGGAGGTGGATTGTGCAGGAGTTTCTTTGGAGATCCGATGGAATGTTGAGCTAGAATTAGGAGACGCAGATGCAATAGCCTTTCAAGTTTTTGCTTTACGAGCAAACCATCATTCGTTTGGTGAGTTCTTTCCTGTTTATTTATTCACCTGTTTCGGTACCTTTAATCAGTTTTCTACAACTTTGTCTTGGAAATCATTTCGGAAAGCCGCTTTCGTGCTCTAATTTGTTGAGGAATATCTAGTGTGCTTTTGTTTCTGGTTTTAGAGATTCGATGTCTACAGTAATATGTTGGTGGTTGGAGCTGAGATCGTTGTGCGTCTCTAGCTTCGATAGTCCGATGTTCAACGTTGGAAAATTTAGCGAAATTTCATGAAACTCGCGAATCATTGTGAGTTTACGTGAATGTTTCCTGTAGATTGTTGGGAGACTTGCTTTTTCTCAGATTTCATACAAAGTATATGTATAGGATGGGGTTCCTTCTTCCTTTTCCTTTCTCTTTTAAGTCTGTTTCCTCAATTTTTCTCTTTTCAGAAAGCGAGTAATGGCGCGATAACCATATGCCATGTAACAGGTGTCCATTTAAAAACGAATGAAAATCCAAAAAAATCCAAATTCAAGGACGGCTGAAAATCAATGCTGATCCTGAGATCAGAATTATCACAAACTGAAAATCAAGGCTGATTTTATCTTAGCTGATCTTGAGAGTAGCAAAATCACAAAGCAGAAAATCAAGGCTGATTTTAACCTCAGCTGATTTTAAAGGTAACAAAATCAACAAACTGAAAATCAATACCTTGGCATTACAGTCAAAGTAAGAAGGTAACATCTGCCGCCATTTTCAAGTAGAATATGGTGGACCAAAATCCAATATAACGGCCTCCGAACAGTGAATATGCGGAATCGTCTTGATGAGTAGAAGCAGAAAATCAAAATTCACCGTCATTTTGGGATTCAAGATGGCGGATAAAAATCCAATATGGCGGCCTCTAAGCAGCGAATACGCATCTAAACTCATGCAAAATGGGTATCTACAGAATGTGCTCGATGAGAAAAAGTGGAAAAATGACATCCGCCGACAATTTTGAATCCAATATGGCGGACCAAAATCCAATATCCATTTTTATATCATATGGGTAGAAAATTCGTAGAACAAATACTTTAAAATCCTCCACTTTTTAAATATCTTCGAGCATGCAACTAAGTCAAACTTCAATAAAATCACTTTGAATAGTCAACCTTTGGTCACTTGGTTGGTAGATAACACATTAAGCTTTGCTATGAAAGTTGTTACAGCAGTTTTCGTTGTTTCAGTCTCGAGATACAAATATTAAATAAAATTATAATTTTTATTTGTGATAAGCATAAGTTTGCGTATGACTTATAAAGTTTGTCAATTTTGCTTTCAGAAGGTCACAAGTAGCGATTTTATGATTGCTGATTGCTCGCTCATCGCGTTGCTCATCGTTACAGCTAATCGCTATTGTGACCCTCTGAAAGCTAAATTGACAGGTTTTATGTGCCATACACACACTTTACCTATCTTGAATTATCATTGAAATATCTCATAGCTTCATAAATCCGAAAAATACCATTTTAGCTGTAATGAGCATTTGCAAGCTTGAGTGCAGGAACTCAGCGGTGAACTACAATTTGTAATTTTTAATCGAGTGGCGTCTCCCCGTGGCCGGTGCACCAGGTCGCGTGGGCGTCCTCGCGCGGAAGTCGGAAAACGGCGTGGGAAAATACTCCTTTCCATGTGATCCTGGAACATAAATCGAACAAAAATCCTGATTAGTAATGAAATTTGGGTTAGAAATACGCATTCCGATTTTTTTTTAAATTAATTTTTTCAAAAGTTGTGGCCTTAGGAAAAAAAAAGTCCATTTTTTCACCCTAAAAATGCTTACAAAATCGTGGATTAAAAATCCATTTTTGACAAAATCGAAAATGTGGATACGTATTTCTAAGCAGAATTTAATTCTGAACAAGAAAACTTAGTCGATATTCAAATTTGATGATAACTGTTAGAGTTATTTCCCACGCCAGTTTGAAAAACCCCGTTTCGAGATAAACGCGTTTAAAGATAAAATTGCTCTCTCAGCGCACCGGTACATGTTTTAGGAAATCGCTTCGTAAAGCGGTAAGGAATATTCTGGCGGACTTGGAGTCTTTTTTAAATTAAAGTATACATCCCAAAGAACATTTTAAACCAAAAAAAAATGCATTTTTTTTGAAAAATCAAAGTGTACTCCTCCCTTAATTAGGGTTTTTTTTTGTCAAAACGATACGAAACGGAAGAAATTATTGATTTCCGATCTGAAATGGAAAATAATGTATTAAACTCTATCTCTATCTTACTTGCACACCTATTTTTCTTTTGTCAATCTTAAATAACGTTGCTTTATTCATAGCCAAAAAACAGATTTTTTGAAATTCCTATTTTATTCCACATTCCCTGATTCTACACAACTAAAAAATAAAACATATTTCAGCCTAATCAACTGCATAAACTGAGAGAAAATCATAACTAGGAGATACGACCCCTTTGTTCCGTGGCTCAGGTCAAGGCCAATCCGTAAAGTTCTCCACAATGGTAGTCTTCTGTTCTGACTGAAGAAACTAAAGCATGTTATTCTTTTTCAAACAAGACATTCATCATCGTTGATAACAATTCATCACTGTCAGCGCAAACTTGATGATCTGGTGGAGCGAATTAACAATTCGCAACTCATCAGAACATCACCCGGAAAACCTCATTATTATGCAACTTGTCTCGAGCTTCCTTCGGACTAAATCAAAACTGTCGTCAACTTTTGTCCCACAACTAAAAAGCTTTACTTCTGTTTCGCCAATTAAGCCATTCTGATCATTCTGCCTTATTCTAGCCACATCCTGCAGATTCAATCCCATGGACGCATGGACCAGGCAAACATCACCTTAGGTCATAAATCATAGATTGTCCATTTTATGATCGCCCTGGCCCAAGCCCATAACGAGTCAATTAAAGCTGCAAAAACCCATTCGATGTTACAAGGAGCACGCCAAATACCTATGCGAAACGAAGCGTAGTTTTTTGCGATTTCCGTTGATTTAACATTTTAATTACCACATTCGGTCGGTCGTCGGTTGGTCCTCCGGACTGATTGATTCCCAGATCACTATGGGAACACTCCTTTCCTCCGATCGACAATTGTTCTGGGAGTTTTGGAACTCTTCAACCTCACACAAAACCAAGAGGGGTGGGTCTATCTGACTCTCTTTGCCTCTTATGGGAGTGCTCCACGCGGAAGGTGACTCTCGAAACTGGCATGCACTTTGCCACTGTCGGTGGACTCAACCTTGAGAGCCGTGCTGGAGAATTATTTATTACCGCTGCTGCTGCTGCTGCTTGGACAGTTTGCCCGACGACCAATTCAAACTATCTCAAGCCTAGGGAGAAGGGTTGAAGGAAGGTTGGGCTGGACCAGATGAAGTTGGGTGTTGAGCTTGTGAAAAATGTTCACAAGAATAAACTCATGCGAGTTACCACTGGCTGAGTCATGATTTGACATTTAGTTGAACAGAATTGCGCCCGATTTGTGCAGATATCGTAAACGGGCGGTGGCGCGGAGTTGTTTATGCGCCCTGCACTGTTGATGGCTTTTAGATGGAATTTGGCCTTTTTGGACCGTGGCCGGTAGAGCTCCTAGGTCGGTTCTTAATTGCTCTAACATGATTCGACTAATCGACTGGAGGGCGGTGTAGACGCTGACGACTCCTGCTGGTTGTGGTTTACATGCGAATGGACTAATTTGGCCTGCGTGCAGCTCCGGCATCTGGTGGCGGTTAATCGGTTTAACATGTGTACTGTCAATAAAAAGTTTTTGTTTGAGATTTTAATGACGTGCAGTGGATTAATCAAAGCGTTGAAAATATGATTGAGAGAACTGTGTGCTAAGGAGCTAATAAATGTGATGAATGTATCGCTATTGCGGTGGTTTAATTTTGATTAGTAGAATTCCTGTTGAAATTTTGATTCTCGCATTGATTGGTAGCTTTGAGAAACGCTCATAAAATCGATTGTAAGGTCAAACAAGGATTCTCAATATATATTGAATGTAGCCTTGACCTTCCGGCAATGCTTCCTCGTTCAATATTGGAACATACAGAACATAGAACTGTAATCAAGTAATTTGAATGAATACTTTAAGGATAAAAATGTCCTTGAAATTTATGTGATTATAAACTTTCTAGACATCGATGGCGTTGGGTTTTGAGTGGTAAGCGTGACTGATTTCTCACCCAGTTCAATCCCAGCCGAGTTCGTTGGGATTTTTGTGGCGTAAAATTTCTAACCGTTGGTTTCAGCCCATCAGGTTGATATGGAGGGTCTTGGTGAAGTCGGCTCTTTGGCGTTGGTGATTGGCACTTACGTGGCGGAACAGATACCGACAATATTAAAACAAACATTTTAAGAGCCTTCTTGAGCCGGCGCCGGCGGTGTAGTGGTAAATGTGACTGCTTTCTAAGACCCCGATGGGTGTGGGTTCAATCCCAGCCGAGGTCGGTGGGATTTTTCTGAGGCATAAAAATCTCAGGTCACGTCTTCCTTCGGAAGGGAAGTAAAGCCGTTGGTCCCGGCCCATGGGTGCGATATCCTACACAGGTGTAGAAGCTGCCTTCCTGCACATTCAATTGCCATCAATGGGTGGCAATCGATGTCTGTCGGTGATTGGCACTATATTGCGGAACAGAGACCGACGTTAAATGGAAAATGGTGATGAACCGGAAATGAAGAAAAAGGAGAAACTACCACCCTTCTTCGTCAAGAGATTCCCACCCGGACTTCGAGAGAATATCGAATTCTTCATCATGCAAGGCTTTGAAGTACACCATGCGCATGTGCGGTGAAGGCATCATGCTGATGATACCAGCAAGAAACTACTACAAGTCCGTCGCAGAGCTAAAAAAAATGGGAGTATTTCTCTCACGACGTCGAGGAGGACAAGCCACTCAAGGTGGTATTGCGTGGTCTGCCCGACACGGAAATCGCCGCACTGTCGGAAGAGCTGAAGAAGAACGGCCTAGAGCCGACGCAAGTCTTCAAAATGAATCGGCACGACGCCTCTCGTAAGCACCGTGACCAACTGTATTTGGTCCACCTCGAGCGAAACACAACGTGTTTGAAGGACCTGCAGTGTATTCGGGCGCTTTTCCACATCGTGGTTAAGTGGGAACGCTACCAACCTCGCCCCCGTAACGTCACCCAATGCTCAAACTGCCTCATGTTTGGGCATGGGACCAAAAATTGCCCCATGGCTCATCACTGCAACGAATATGGCAAGCAACACGCACCCGAAGAATGCGAGAGGATGGAGAACGCCGATCCACAATGTGCCAACTATGGTACAGCACATCGAGCTACCAGCAAGTCTTGTCCGAAGCGTACGGAATTCATGGAAATCCGTAATAGGGCCTCCATGCAGAACCAGCCGGGTCACAAAAAGGTACCGGCATGCAAAGAGCAGAATTTCCCCGCCATTAGCCAACGGCGTCCGATTCCGATTCTTCCGCCACTACCGCTCAACAACAGTTTGGCAGCTGCTGCTGCTGCTACATCGGTCCCGCCAACTGCTGAGGTGCCAAACCATCCGGCTAATCCGAGCCGTCAGTCCTATGCGGCAACGATTTCGACTACGAAGAGCTACCCATTACCATGATGGCAGAAGCAATCATCATCAAGCGCTCCTGCAGAACCAGAACCGAGCAGATTCTTGCTGCATCACGTTTCATCGACAATTATGGACCGTGAAACCATCAAGATCGCCAACTGGAACGCTTGCTCGCTCAAGAGCAAGATCATCGAGTTCGTTGACTTCCTCAACAAACAAAACATCGACATTTCCGTTATCACCAAAAACCCACCTGAAACCGGAGGCAAACGTCTACCATCCTGACTTCTGGCTTCTAAAACTTGATCGAACCAGCTCCGGGGGAGGAGGAGTGGCCATTGCTGTAAGGAGAAACATCTGCTGTCGACTTCTGCCGAGCTTCCAGCTGAAGATCATCGAAACATTAGGGGTAGAAGTCTCCACTCCTGTCGGCCCTATCACCATCATTGCGACCTACTGCCCCAAGCAAGTCACCATCAGGGACGGGTCGGCAGCAGACTTGCGGAGGGACATCATCAAACTAACTCGACGGTGCGAAAAGTACATCATCGCTGGCGACCTGAACGCCAAACATCAGGCTTGGGGCAACAGTCGACGCAACCAAAACGGCACCGTCCTGAACGACGACCTGCAAGAGGCTCGCTACACCATATTAGCGCCGGACTGTCCCACACGGTTGAGCCGGTCTGGCGTTCACTCCACGATAGACATCTTCATCAGCAACATGGGAGTTTGGATCACTATCCGGTGGTGGCCTAAGTAGGCTCATCAGTCAACCGAATCCAAGCTTCCCGACTCAACTACCATCGTGTCAGCTGGGAGCAGTTCCAACATTGTGTCGACTCCACTGTCGACTACGGTGTCCTTCCGGAGACGCCCGAAGACGTTGACCGGTGTCTGCGTTCCATCGAGGAGGCGATATCCCGGGCCAGGGAACACCACGTGCCAGTATCCAGACAGGTGAGTAATACTCTGAACCTTGATAGAATTACCAAAGATCTCATCAGACTCCGAAGGCAATACCAGCGTTCTGGTATACGTGTCTTGAAGACCCATTGCAATCGTCTTACAAAAACCATCCAAGCCAGGATGGTAGACCTCAGAAATCAAGATTTTGCTGACAAGATCCGCTCTCTCCCAGATTGTGCAAAGCCCTTCTGGAAACTAACGAAAATCCTTAAAAATAAACCAAGATCCATCCCACCACGGACCTCACTGGATCGTCCTGGCGACCCAGTGGTTCATCTGATAACTCCTGAAGAAAAGGCTGCCGCGATAGGTCAACACTTCGTCAGCTCCCATAATCTTGGACAAAACATCGTCAGCCCTCATGAATCTGAGGTTGCTGAAAATGCTACCAATCTTCATCAGATTCCTAACATTTTTCCAGAGTAATCCGAGATTACGGCTGACGAACTGTTGGCCTTTATCAAATCATCTAGAAACATGAAGGCCCCAGGTTTCGACAACATCCTGAATCTGGAACTCAAACACTTGAGTTCCAAATTCTACAACCATCTGGCACTGATTTGACTACTTCCCCTCGTGTTGGAAGTCAGCTAAAGTCATACCCATCTGGAAACCTGGGAAGGATCCGTCCTCTCGTTCAAGTTATCGACCAATCAGCCTTCTCTCAGGGTTATCAAAATTGTTCGAAAGAGCAGTCTATCACCGGCTCCTAACATCTGCCGAATAAAACAACATCTTACTCGAGGAACAGTTTGGTTTTCGGAAAGGTCGTTCGACCGTCCACCAGCTGACTCGAGTGACAAACATTCTCAAACGGAACAAGTCTGTTTCGAAAACATCTGCCATGGCGTTGTTGGACGTTGAAAAAGCGTTCGACAATGTCTGACATGATGGCCTGGTGTTCAAATTGCAGCAGTATAGTCTTCCAATCTTCCTAGTGAAGATAATAAACAACTATCTATCGGACAGGACGTTCTGAGTCTCTCTGAATACCATCACATCGGATGCTTTCAACATCGGTGCCGGGGTTCCACAAGGAAACATCCTTGGCCCCATTCTATCCAACCTGTTCACCTCCGATATGCCGGCTCTCCCTGATTGTGGATTGTTGTCTCTGTTCGCAGATGACACATCCATCGTCTACAAGGGTAGGGTCATCGGAGCTCTGACTGCCAAACTTTAGAGAGACCTGGACGTCCTGTCTGCATATTTCAACCAGTGATGGAAAAATTCGCAAAAAATCACTATGACTCGCAAACTTTTCCCTTGGAGAACTTCGAGAAATATCGCGAACTTTTCCAACACTGATTTCAACAGCTGGAAGATCCGTATCAACACAGTCATCATATTTCCACACTCTAAATCTCCCAGACTTGTTCCGTCGGTGAATAATAAGATCTGCCTGAACGGCACAGTGGTGGAATGGTCAAAAGAGGTAGTCTACCTCGGCTTAATACTAGACAGCAAGCTGATTTTCAGGGAGCACGTTGATGAAACCAACACCAAGTGTAATATCTAGATAAGATCACTGTATCCACTCATCAACAGGAGGTCTACCTACCCTGAAAATAAGCTTGCTGTCTACAAACAAATCATGCTTCCCGTAGTAGAATACGGGATGCCAATCTGGGAGAGTTGCGCCAAATGCCATCACCTTAAACTCCAAAGGATCCAGAACAAGATCCTTATGATCGTCCTAAACAGTCCTCCGTGGACTAGAAATTCTGAGGTCCACCGCCTTGGTGGTCTTCAGACACTGGAGTTACGGAGAGCTGACTCCATCGCAAGGTTCAGAGATTGATGAAGGCGACCCGATCAACAGATCGTCAGGAATCTGGCACGTTAGGCTAAGTAGGTAGAATAACAAATTAAAACATCCAAACAACATACTTCACAAGAAGAAAATTGAAAAATATTACACAGTAAAACACAACATCCCTAGTAGCACGCTTGTCACAAATCAATTGTAGAAACTTATATACGACTTATTTCAGTCATAAACAAGGTGCTGTAACTTATTGTGCTGAAAGTGTGCTACTCGGGATGTACAAGACAAAATCAAAAAGTTCACCAAAGTTGAAGAGCTTTTTTGGCTAACCTCTTGCCCTGTATTAGCAATTGTAAACCACATAACAAATCAAAATAAACTGTAAATTGCCATCTTGATTTACAAAATATCAGCAATCATCTATTTCCGGCCTTTAACCGTCGTCCTCGTTCCAACAATATCCATTTTGAAGGATATTTTACACTTTTACAGCCTTTAAAGTTTTCACAGGAAGCTCATGTGTTCACTAGTACCACGTAGTGAGAAAGTTGAACTAATATGACCTTCATCCGAAAGAAAATGTTCACCTGAACAACTTTCCTGAAGACAATTACCTTCTATATGGCAAGGATCCCGAGATACAGCTTTTACAGTAGTAAGTTAATGTGCACGCTAGTGCCACCTTGTGAGAAAGTGCTGCAATAAAATGAACACCGTCCGCAGGGACGTGGTCATCTGATCAACTTTGTTGAATACAGAAACTTTCTATGTGGCAAGGATCTCGAGATACAGCTTACACAAGAAGTTTAAGTGCACACACCCGCTACATAGTGAACTAGTTCAGAACTACTGTCCACCAACCCTAAGCATTAATTCACTGAACAACTTTGCCCAAAACTGAAACCTTCTGTTCTGTATTCCATGTAGGAACCAATTAAGCCAAACCCTATATGATTCGTGGCTCCATATATGCGGTTTCCTTATATGAGGTCCGCATTATGCACAAATATGGAGGAATAGCTGTACATTAGTATGCACACACGCGCTGTATAGTGAGCTAGTCCGGAACTAAATTGTCGAGCATTCTGAGGGCCATCAATTCTCTCGAAGATAGCATCTTCTTAGACAGACAGGATGATAAGATATAAAAGCATATGCAGGAAGGTCATAAGAACACTAGCGCCACATGTGAGAGAATTCAGAACTAATCTATACAACATCCAGAAAACCTTGGTCCTCATCTTGATCACCTGAAAACATTTCTGAAGATAGCAACATTCCATATGCTCCGGAGACACCGTAAATGTGGCCGTGTGGCACCTTGGATTTTTCAGAATTGTATGAATAATTCATCGGCCCTGTCGACATATCCGGGGCAACATTGGCCATCTGTTGTTTTGGAAAAAGTTCTGGAACCCCGGAAAGGGACCAATTTATAATTTCCATAGAATCAAGTCTTTCAGCACATCAAAATTTGCAGAATTTCATGGAGAGGTTGTGAAGCATTTGCAGATGCTGCAACTGAAATTGTCGTGAATCAAATTTCAAATGTTGCTGTCTTTGGAAAAGTTGTTCAGATGAATACAACTAATTTCAAATTTTATTTTTACGTTCCAACTGGAATTATGAGTCTGTCTTCAATTTCCATTTTATTTATTATGTTATTAATTGATAATATAGGGCTTAGATCTAATTTTAGGCCTACTAAGCACAACCCGCCCTTTGCCTCTATTTTTCGAGTGGATTTTTTCACAAAATGAAATATTTTCACTGCAGATGACTTTTAAATTTACAGTCAGGAATCCTTATTGCCGGATTCCTTATTGCCGGTATCCCTTATTGCCGGATCCTTATTGCCGGGCTATCCGCAAGTCCTTTCGAATAGTGGCCATATTAGTTCAGAACTCTCTCACTACGCGGCGCTAGTGTGCACATGAACTTCCTTAATATGTGATTTCTGGAAAGCTTGTCCATATAAGATGTTGCTGTGCAATGCGAGGACACGAAACGGAATAGGGATGACGTGTAGAGAGGCTGTAAATCGATTTCGGACGCCATTTTAAAATCCAAGATGGCGATCATCGATACAAGAAAAACTGTCAAATACCCTACAATATGGGTATTTTCGGAAAGGGAACGGCGTGTAGAGGCCGGAAATCGATGCCAGACGTAATTTTGGAATCAAAGCTGACGGGCATCGGTTGAATAAAAACTGTCAAATTCCACAATACGGGTATTTTTGAATAGGGAACGACGTGTAGAAATCAGATATCGATGCCACCCGCCATTTTGAAATTGGAGATGGTGGCCT